CCCCAAAACCCCAAAACCCCAAAACCCCTTTTATGGCATCAATTGTTGATAAGATATAAGGGGATTATATGGTTGATCTGTTTTAAGTCTTCTCCTTTGTGTTAGATTTCTTCTTGTTCACAATATTTTCTGCATTACAAAACATGCATAAGAGATACTTGTGAGGACTGTTAGGTTTAAAAATTTCCTCTCTAGAAATTAAAAAGACAGTACCTTATCATTGATAAAGGAATTTCATCTTCTTCTTCATTAAGGTCAAAGATTTTGAACAGAAAAGTTGTAAAGTAATCCGCAACTTCCTCTCTGGTCTTTGTCTCTTCAGATGCTTCGAACTAAGCTATAATTTTTTATTCTTACCAGAGATAATTCTCAGATTTCACGAACTTCATCACGGTCAAGCGAGCCATTGCCATCACTAAATCCTCAGTATTGGCTTACCTATCGACGATGTCAAAGAAAAGTTCGATTTTGACTGCAAGGTCATCTGTGAAGATAGTCTTCATTCAAGTCAGAAACTCTTCCCAGTCAAGGTATGCATCTCTAAAACATTCAAATGAGGCTTACCAAGGTGTGTTGAAGTCATTTTTCGGCCTCAATTTCTTATTGACATTGGCTTTATCAAAGATCCTCTTGATCAAGTCTTTGTTTTCAAGGGATAACTCACTGATGCCATTGATGAATATCTCGAAACAAACTCCTCGCACCTCTGTATCTTTAGTGAATGTCACTGTTAGTTTACATAATGTTTTATACAGTACGTAGAACTTAAGAATCTCTTCTCTAGTGAACCCATGTTTCTCTGAAAGAACATTCAGGTTTTGTGATGAAGGAGGAGGATAAAGCTCATCAATGGATTTGAGAGTATTAGGCAACAAATGCTTGTTTAGCCTAATAAAGTCTCTGACAGGAGGCTCTTTCGTGCTCAATTGGTTTTCTTCATCAAAGGCAGAATAACTTTTGTTAGATATTAAGAGAGGCTGAGGGTTCTTCACTTCCGGTGGCTTATAAATCATGGTCCTTCTAGAAGCAGACCTAGAAATGATGTAAATATATTACGTAAAAATTTCAGATCTATTTGATTTAATATATTCAAGTGCTTTCTTTTTCAGTAAGTACTCTTGAGCTAGCCTATCTTCTTCTTTCCTTTGAAATTTTAAGGAATCTAGAGTAAATTTTGTCTCAACCATAGTATTGGCTTTATTCTTGAGTTTCATTTCTTCTTTGACACCCTAAGATATTTCTTAAAAGTTACCTCTAGGTAATCAATTTCACTTATTTCTATCAGTGGAGCAACATCTTTAGTGGTTTTCAAGGTCCTATTTTGGGTAAATTACCTCATAGAGATTAGTTACCTTTGTTTTCTGTTCCTCGACTCTTGCAGCAACTCTTGTTTATGCCTTTCAAGCAAGATGTTCATTTCTTGTTGGTATTGCTTCTTTTTCCTAGACTATTACATCCTAAATTACCTTTCTTCCTCTAATATCTTAGCTTTGTCTGGTATTTTTGGTATTTTGTCTTGCATTTCCTTTTTCTACAGCTATTTATGCACAGGGATACCTCTTTGGCACGCTTTCGCTTAAGGTAGTTCTTGTATTTACTAAAAATTATCCAGCTGGGAAGTACTCATCCTTGAGTTTAAGAATGTGATATGCTATGTCCCAGTCTTGATCAAGGTTTTTGCACTCTCTTTTGTTAAGGTACAGCTTCTCGTTCATTTCGATCATGTCATCTGAAATTGTAGTGGTACAAATTTACTTTTAATCTTGACAAACTCTCTGACCTCCTTGAGGTCACTATTGAGCTGCCTGTATTTGTGCTCGGTGTCCTGGTTTCTTTCTTCAATGGTATTGATCCTGTAGAATTATAGGTGACTGTACCTCTCATGCAGGCTGTCATATTCCTTCTTGAGGGCTGAGCTTTTGATAGTACTGAGGTAAATTTCCCTTTCCTGTTTCGATAGATGACCACCTCTGATTCTGAACTTCTTAGTTTTGAGATATTTCTCCTTTACCCTTTCATGAAGTTCCCTTGGGTTCCTCTTCTTTGTAACCCAACCTGATTCAGGCTCGTGTGTGTAGAAATTTTGAAGCGTATTGGACTTTTGTAATTTTGAAATGTGCATATTTCTTCTTTCTAAAATATTTGAGACATCATACTGCGGATCTGTCTTTTTGGAGCAAAATTTGAACTAGTTTTGGTCATCTTAATGGGGTCTTTTATTCAGGATTCTTCTTCTTGGGATTTTGCCTGATCTTTTGCTATAAACCTTCACTGACTATAATTACTGTTATCCCAATGAGGATTTTCAAGATGAGCTTTGATTAATTGCTTTGCGTTGTGTAATTTTTCAAACTTTACAGGCATAACTCTATACGTTTATCCAATCTCAAAGTACTGGTTTATCTTTACAATTCGGTCAGCAGATAACCCAGAAGGTCTTTTGTGCTCCTTTCCGCTCACTTGGATATTTTTAAACATCTTTTGAGCTTTCCTTTCCACACTTTGTTGTAAATTTGTATGATTATGAAGATATTTATCAGCTAAATTTGAAAATTCCAAAGGCGAATTAAAATTCTTATTTCGTCTTAGAATATAGCTCCTTCTCATCAATGCTTGATGAATGGTAAGACAAGTCAGAATCATTAGAAGAGTCTTTAGAATGGTTCGGACCAAGTTCATTATGGAGCCTTCTTTCCAAAATGTTAGCATTCTTGCCAGTTCCCATATCTTGTTGAAGTGCAGTGGCATCCTGACCTGTCTCAGTCACTGGAGGTTCAACTTTACCTCCTTTTTTGACATTACTGACCATCTGCATTGCCATATCTTTTTGTTTGTCTTCAACTTGTTTTTCTATTTCTCTTCTTTGAAGTCTTTCAAATTTTCTGTGACTGTTAAGGATTTTGGTAAATATCTTCTTGACCTTAATCTGCTTGCTGGGGTTTAGAAGAGTCTCTTGGTTGTAAGGGTTAATCGCTCTTGGTTTTGTGCTTCGAGCAGTCCTTCTCCTCCTCTGTCTCGTTACTACTTTCCTGAAGCCTTTAAATATAGGCGTCCTTGAGGCGAATAAGATGTTTTCAGTAGCTGGAATCTCGGTTAGGTAATGAATCAGAGTACCATTTCTGAGGAAAAGACTGGTTAAAGGTTTGCTTTGTCTAAATCTTTTTGTTAGTTCCTTCATAAAAACACTCATTTCGTGTTGATTCTTCTTCATTTCTTTATTATGTTGCTCTATATTCTGTATTTTAGAAGTATCTCTTTGAGAATGTTGAGGAATTTCCATAATTGTTTTGTGGTATCCTCCACATTCAATCACTGCTCCATCCAAGAAGACGTTGATTTCCCTTATAGGTAAATCCTTAAGGGCCTGATTTAGTCGATTGTTTGCTGACTGAATTGGCCGTTCTAGACTTGTAAAGGCTTCTGGCCTACTAAATTACGCTCGAATTTACTCTGAAGGCTCTTTATAATTCTTAATGTTTAGTCTATTTTCTCAAGTTCATCGTTGATTTTGATTGCTTAAATGCACCTTTACTGTTAAAAATTTGAAATTACTTCTTGATGGTCTCTTAAAATTGAGAGGATTTCTTGAAAATAGCATCTAGATTTATTGCTGTGCTGTTGAATTTCTGAGATTGTTCATCCTTATCTCCTAAAGAAATTAATGATGTGCAAATTATTGCTATCTTTCAAGAAGCAGTGAGCTGGGAGTGTTATTCTAGCTACAAAAATAATTCTATAATGATGAGAAAATATTTTCATATAGAAATAATCTACAGAATCAAGAATAATGATGAAAGTCATTCTTAAGTATCCTTAGGAATTTCTACTGTAGGCTCTTAATAATTCTGGAAGCTAGATCTAACATTTCTTACCATTATTACAGCCTGCTTTATCCCCGTTCAGATTAGAATTATTTCCAACTGATATATTAATAACATGGCTAGTGGTGGTTGCTTCATCTAGTTTGCTCATAGCTTGCATATAATTTTATTTTTCAAAATAGAATTATAAATTCGGGGTTTTGGGGTTTTGGGGTTTTGGGGTTTTGGGG